TTAGTAATACGAGAAAATGTGCTATGTTCTGGTATACTGTTTCATTTGTGGAGTTTTTACTGAAATCAGGGATGATTTCAATGCCATTCTAAAAAATACTCTGCATCCTTTGTGAGAGTATGTCGCCCTTCTCTGCTCGTATATAACGGAAATGAGCAAAAACTATGATGATGCGCTGCAGACAGGTTGTCCACTGTCTAGGCCCATCATGTCTGGAGCTCAGCAGTCCATCTGTCCCTCAAATTTTGTTTTCTGGCCTTTGCTTCCAATTCAGTCTCTATTTGTGACAAGTCCAATGAGAGTACCATAAAACCCCTCAGTGCTGTTACGTGGTCCTGTGCAGGGGGAAATCAATGTTTCTGAGAAGCCGTGTTTGAGTAATCTTGACTGTGTCAGGTTTAAGGGAACAGTAGGTGAAATGCAAATGTGAGCTGCCTTTTTAAAAGCAGGCAAGTCTGAGATACACCTGTTTCCAAGCTGTATTTTGAAATCACAGGCAGAAATACTTATTTATAACTGCAACCATCCCCCCGTTTTCATTCAGAATTCACATAATTAAATTTTTTCATTGTTTTTTAGTATCCAAAGTGAGACATGAAAGCAAGGTATTGATATGACCCAGAGGTTAGCTCAGTTGGTTTGAATATTACGCTAATAATGCCAAGGTTGTGGATTTGATCCCGGTATGGGCCATTCGCTATGATCTTTGTGGGTCCCTTCCAACTCAGAATATTCTGTGAATCTGTGTGAAAATATGCTAAAAAATCCTTGCTAATGCAAGTCAACGTATCTGTTGATATGCTGCAAAATGTTTGATAGCCATTAAATGCTGCAAAAATTAGCAGCTGTGATTGTCCCAGGTTTAAAGTGACGGATGTCGATTGGTCAGATGTGAAGATTGTGGATGCGCACACAGATATGGATGCATGTATATGCTTATGAATATAAAGTATGTAAAAATTATGTGAAATAAAATACGGAGCAGGTTAAGCTTGGAATGACCACAAGCACAATGAAAGCGCAAGTGACTTATGAGTACCCATAAAACTTTTATGCAACACCATATTATCACGTCTTCTGCATCTGCTGTGTCTTCAATAGAAAATCTACTTTAGAAATGTCATGTATACCATTTTAGAATTATATGATAATATTTATTGTACCTCTCATCTGTAAAAGCCAGACCCCTTTTATATCAGTCCATCTGGAAAGGCCCTAAAAGGAAAAAAAATATATTTTAGAAACAATATCTAACAAAAGCATTATTTTTCAAGACACTGAATATGCTGTTTATATGGTGCTGTTTCTCAGAATTATCAGGAGCTAGCAGCTGGAAACCTCTTAGTTTTATTTATTGGACTTCTTATATGGAAATTCTGTGAGAAATATGTTCTTAAAGGAATGCATGAAGTTTTACCATTGTATGACAACATCATCCTTTTATATTTTATATTGGTGCACTCTGATACAATTTTCATAGCTCCTTCCCCTTCTCCACAGAAGGCAAGAGGGAGCAGTATATCCCTGGGGTATATTTCCCACTGTTACTTTCTTTTTGGTATTGTAGATATTATATGTAGTTTCAGTTGTCTGTTGGAGAACCTTCTCTGTCATGTTAGAGCTCTTAAATCTGTGATCCTTGCTTTCCTGGTGCTTTCTGACTGTTTTTGAAATCCACATAGCAAATATGGGTATAGTTTCCTACACTTTTATTTTTCCCATTAGCAGGAAATCCTGTATATTTCTAAGTTTTTGCAGCCTGATACTTTAGTAAGTTTGTCTGTGTTGCCAAGAGCCACGTCTAATCCCAGTGTCATATGACAGGACCTAAGATGAGTTATCTTCAGTGTTAGCACTGCTTTCTGTTGTGAGCTTCACACCCCTCTTTTCCAGCATACTCTTGGGATTATCAGTACCAGTATTTTGCTTTGTTAAAAGAATCTTACGATGAAGCTGATGTTACCTATCAGAATCGCAGGTGCCAGAGAGGATTAACAGTGATGTTTAGGTCATATCTAATGAATTCCTGCATCCTGCTGAGGAAATCACTGCTCTCAAATTAAGGACCCATTTTATCAGCATAACTGCAGTGTCTGACACTACAAGTTTATTTCCCTAGGGGAATTATGTAGAGTAGAAATTAGGACTTGTATGCACATATTGATGGACACTGTTTCTAAATTTAGCTTAATGCACTGATGCCAAGAGGACAGTGCTACAAATTACAAATTCCTTGACCTGATTCACTGTGTGAAGCTTCCACAAATGACAAAATACCAAATGGCTGGGAGAAAAGGCAAGTTCTCTTAATACTGTTTCTTAGGAGTTTCTTTATCTATTGTGTCAGCTCCTGATCTCTTCTAATTTTTTTATTTTAAAAGTTTGAAAACACATAGGTTGCTTTCAAATGATTCTGTTTGCTGACACAGGTAGCCTCACTTTTCAGTTTAACTGACTTCCATTACAAACTGTTACTGATGCAGTACAATTTTGTATAAGTTTACATTTCAATATATCATTCAGTTTCAGCAATCTCCTGAAACCTCTACTGGACCTGTAAACTGCAGATTCAGACTTTGGTGTTGCTAAGGAGTGTTCCATCACTATTCAATTTATAACATTTTTCAATTTAAGAAGTTGCTGATGTTTGTTTCTGGTTTGTTTTACTAGGGATCTCTAAAGTGCTCTCCTCTTATACAGGGTTATAATTAAGTGCTTTGGAAAGAAGGTGTGAACCTCTTGGTGCAGACTTTCAGAACAGATCTAGAATCTCAGTTCTTCTGGACTCCTCAAATTTGATTTGGTGACTAGAGGTTCTCAGACTTGGCTTCTGAGAAGAAAAAGTGTAGTAACAGGTAGTAAAGGCCATGCCTTGTTACATGAAATTGAGTTTTCACTTGCAAGCAATTGAGCAGAGACATTTACCTGACTTTCCCTTACGTTGCTGTTGTAGATACTTAACTTGTAGAGTGTACACTACTTCCCTGGAATTAATTGGACAGTTCATTCCTCACAGAGCCATAGCTCCCAAATTTCTGTATATACATAAAATACTTCTATGTGTTATATTTAATGCACCTTTTGTGGGATTTTCCACATCTATGGTCATAGATATTTAAAATTTGAAATTGGATAGAGATGCATCCACAATGAGTATTGTGAAATCCTATTTTTCAGGTACTTTTTTTTCCTAGAATATAATTTACAAAGCAAGCTGCTAGCATTCTACATAGAGGTCATAGACAAGTAGGTACTTTACTGTGTGATTCAGTAGGATTGTATATCTTTACCTGTGGGTAAGGATGTGCTGTTTCCTCTCGTATCTTTATCTTACTATCGCTATTTCTTAGCTAGATTGTCTTTTTAAATATAATTGCTATTGATATGGAACTGTGTAGGGAATGTAATGTGTTAACCATTCTCAAGGAAATGTCATGGAGGGATTTAATTTGTGTGTTAAGGGCCCAGCTGATATGCCCTTTCGAGTCTGAGGTGGCAGAGATGCTCCAAAAATGCAGGTGGCTAAGAACATTAAAATAAGATAAGATCTGTAGTTTATTTCCAAATTAGAAAAACAGGTAAACAGAGCTCTTAGATTCATGGTGTTATATCTGTGTGCTTAAATTCTACTGATTTACTTCATATGCCAGAGTGCTTTTGTAGATCTCGCCATTATGATTTTTTTGTTGATAAGATCCAGGGTTTCTGGAAGGGTTGTGGAAGCTTGGGAGAAGCACTGGTTATTCCATTATACGCTAGTTAAATTCTAGTTCTATTGTAAACCAATGACTTCTTAATAGAATTGTGGCATTAACTTCATCAAATTAATAAGTAAAAAAATGAGGCAAAGGAAAGGTAGACCCTTAGTGAGTGACAAGAACAGTTTATACTTGCTTTATGCAGCAATTGACAGACACCAGTCCCAGCATCAGCACCACTCTGTACTAACCAAGGTAGAGAGATGTTGAAGCTTATGATATCCTGAGTTAAACACTCTGTTAAATAAGAAAAAAGGCAAAAACTTGAAAACCCTGTTATTAAGAGCAAAAAAGGGAATATGAACCAATATGAACATTTCTTAACTCCCCAAAACACTCAAGAAAAAAAGTAAATCCCTTTTCCTTTGCAAAGTTGTATTTTTATAGATTGAAACTTGAGTTACAGGGAAAGATCAGGAAAAGACCCTGGTGGTTAACCACTGTCATCACACTGTGCATACAGCATTTTTACTCCAATTAAACAAATAGCCCAGGATTAAAATCTGAGTTACCTTTGCCTGTTCTGTATGGGTGGTGGTGAGTGATACATTGATGCAACAGATCTAAATTAATGTCTTTGCATTTCCAACAGCTCCAACACTGTAAAGCAGAAGGTCCTTTCTGACCAAAAAGTTGACGGTCTGCCATGTGTGTGGTAGTGAGTTACAATCAGAAATGTGAAGCACGCAACTGTATTAAAACTGCTTGCTCACCCTTCTGACAAACATTACTATTTCCACTGCGAAGACAGTTGAACAACTCCTATAGAGCAGTTCCATGAAACCCAGGAAGGTTTACATTCTTACACAAGATTAAACTTCTGTGGCTCAGAAGATACTGTACAACATGTCTGGTCATTTGGATCAAATTGGGTTACAGTGATACAGGAGGAAAAAAATGACACGTTGGAAGATAAGCCCCACATGTAGGCAGCATCCTTGCAAATTTTTTTTTTAAGACTGACAGCAGAAAAAGGAAGGGCAGGCTAAGAAGAAAGTGGCTGAAATGACTTAAGAGTACTTACATGTTATGTTAGCTGCTACTGAAACTCAAATATTATGAGTTTTAATCATTCAAGTCTGGAGTACCATTTCATATATCCTGTAGTCTGTAGATCCATACGCGACAGTATTTTGAAAATGTGGTAATTTGTAGAGAAGACCAGCAGTGAAAAAGCAAATTGGTTAAATGTGACAGAACACTAATATTGATGAATGTACTACTGTGTTTATTTTCTTTCAGTTTACAAGCTTTGAGGAAGGAAAAGTCTCGAGATGCTGCTCGCTCTCGCAGGGGAAAGGAGAACTTTGAATTCTATGAGTTGGCAAAGTTGTTGCCACTGCCTGCAGCCATTACCAGCCAGCTTGACAAGGCATCCATCATTCGACTTACAATTAGCTATCTGAAAATGAGGGATTTTGCTAATCAAGGTGATCCCCCGTGGAACTTGAGAATGGAAGGACCTCCACCGAATACATCAGTAAAAGGTATGAAGAAAATATGTTGTGTAGTGTCGACTATGGCAGCCTTTAGTAGCCTCTAAATTGAAATTTTTACCATAATCCTTTCTTCTTTCCCTGCATATCAAATCCTTTAAAGGGATTCAAATGTGGAAATCTGAGGTCTGCATGAGAAAGACACCATGTGAAGGTGAAATAAACCTCTTATTTTATTTATTTTTTTTTAACAACAAACCTATTGATGTAACCATTACAGCTGTAAGTCTTCTGGGTAATGTAGACTAAATTATTTCAAGTTATTTAGCTAGTGTTGTGTTGCTTTGTTTTAGTATTTTACCTAAGGATGTGTTTGAGAGGAACATGAGAACTCAATCTCTTCATTCTCTGGCTATACCTTAAATGTAGAATGATGTATTTCTGAAGTTTGAGAGAATCACATTCAAATATTTAAACCTTCAGGTGAGAGACTAGGATTTTATTTATCATCTTGTAATATCTATAGGAATTATTTTGACTTCTGAACCACTAGGCATCTATCAACATTTCAGACAAAATAGACTTTTCAATATTAAACAACCTTTTTTCATGCTTGAACAAGTAGTCATGCAGTAAAATCAGAGTTTTAGACATGAATTGCCACAAAGTCAGGTGAAGGAAGAATCAGTCAGTGGTTTTTGAGGTTGTGTACTTGCTGGTCTTAAGTAGTGATTCCAATTACTTGTGTAAAGTGGATTTTTTTAATAATTTTTTTTTTTTTTTACTTATGCTACTCATGTTGATGAGTGTAGTCTTGCTGTCTGATAAGTATTTTAAATATTAAAAGTTACATTAACAGAAATCAGGGTTACC